ATTGCATACATATGTGTAGACATATACAAATATTGAATATATTCTTTTGTTTGCAAGTATTACATACACGTGCGGATTCATACATGTACGTGAAGTGTGCACATATGCAAAATAAATTAATTAAAATTTTAGTTTCAAGTATTGCACGTATACATTACCCATCTACACATATGTGCATGCACATGTAAATTCCTATTATTATGCATACACATCCATCTACCTAGGCATATTATACATATATGTACACATACAATACATGCACAAAATAAAACAATTTTTACTCTTAAATATTACACATACATATTCATTCATTTCCACATATGGTACGCGTATGTGCAAACACCTACACAAATTAAACGTATTTTATAATTTCAAGTGTAACACCCAGTTCCACATGCTGCACACATATGTGCACGCACCTACACTATATCTTTTAGCTTCAAAATGGAGTTCTCTAAATTAAAAGATGAAATGACCGTACTCCAAGTAATTGCATTTTATAAGAAGATATTACGTATCAGGAGACATCCCGTGTGTCTCCTGCAATTTAAAGATAAGATAAGAGTAGGGGTCGTGAAAATTAGGCGATTTTCTGTTAACGCCGTGTTTCATCGGAGATCCAAGTTCGACCTTAACCTTCGTCCCAACTGGTAACCCCAATCTAGCCTCCTTGAAGATTAACGACGCTCCCCTTTGCGTCACAGTCCAAGATAAGACCGATAATACAGTTCGGTGGCAAAAAAAGCTATTTAACTTTTACGGCAACGATCGGGGGTGGCTTTCGGGAGCTATCGGTCGCTGACACAATGACAAACGACGGATCAACCATGATAAGAGCCCTTGAAACCCGGCAACTGGATTAAAACGAAGTAGCAAGAGGACGAGTGACCCTGAAGGGTAACTTCTGGTCGAAATCTTTGAAAACAGATAGTTCATTTATTAGACAAGATACACGGTATGTTCCATGATAGCAGAGTATTCTACGAGTCACCGAACCTAAGTGCCAGAAAAAATTGAGTGGGTATGAAAATGAAAAAGAAATATGATCTTAACAAATTGTTTCAGATAATTGTTGAGTGGTGACAAATATAGGCTTACTTTCAGATCATACGATATCAATAATTATTTATTCAACTATATTATTGTATACGATTTATTAGTAAAATGAAACTCAGCTTGATAATTTCAAAAACCATAAGTTTTTATTATATGTTATTAAGTATATGGAGTTTTTGTCATACATTTTTAAGTACATTGTTGTATGTTCTTAAGTACATGGATTGTTTGTTATATGTTATTAAATGCATATCCATTGAAATTGCTAATATAATGTTAGTATACCGTAAGAGGTGCATAGTATGTTCTATGATAACAGAGTGTGGTATGATAGCACCGAACCGACTAAGAGTAAAGCGATTGTACGTGCAAAAACATAATAGAAACGTTAAAGGCGAATTACTTAACAAAACTGTAGTAATTTACGGCCAAAGTATAGACATACAAATCATTTATTGGTGATTAAATAGTGACAATTACACACGGTGTCCCATTTAAGTTAACACCGTAAAAAATCTCGAAGAATTTAAGAAAAACAAACAGTACTTTAGTATTTCAAATGGGGAGCCAAATGGTATAATTTTTAATAGATATTTAACTCTATACGTGTAAAAATATAACAATGTTGTATAAACAGTATAAAACAGTGATTATTATCAATTAATAGCAGAAAAATAACAACACCAAAAGAATCGACCAAACTTCTCACCCAAAAAGTTGTAGAATATCTGCCAACGGCAAAACCTCCGAGCGTAGGGGTTTGAAATAAAGTAATGCTTGTGGAGAAATAAATACAAACGCACCTTTTTGTCCTTTCTGCAGGTACACGATGCAAGTGGAATAAAATGATCGGCGAGATAGAAAGACACACGAGGGCAAGCGTATCCCCACGGAATCGATGAAGCATGGTGGAAAGGCAGCGTCGAAGAGAAGAGAAAGGAAAGCAGGCGAGATAAATCTGTTTCCAGGCGAAGATCATCGAAATTCTGGGGACGTAGAGCGCCGAGGGTAGTGCACGTAGGGGAAGACGAAGCCGAAAGCAGATGGGGATTGATTGGCCCGTGTCTCCGGCGCTAGTGCAAAGGCAGCTTCATCGAATCCCAAGTACAAAGGGTCCTGGGTGTACGCGAGCACGCAATCACGCACACGTACAAACTTTATACTACCGGCAACCTAACAACTTCGCGTTCGACTAGGAACAATGGTAAACACGCGTGTATCGTTTCCTCTTCGTCTCGTTGCTTGCATTGTGCATTGCGTGCACTTGGCTCGAGCGCATCCTAATGCATACGATGCATGCGCTTATACCGGGGGTTCGCAAAGTGCGGCCCGCGGGCAAATTACTGCCCCGAGTGCTGCAACTGCCAGCCAGTGAATATAACTGGATTTAGCTCTCATATTTTATATTACACGATTTTATTTCCGTACTTTTGTCGGAATATGTGTCATTTTGAGGAAATGAAGAGTGTATGTATACTTCAGTTACTTATTTATTTTCAATTTAAGTGTGCATTTAATGCCGGTAGTTTTAGTTAAACTCTGACGATGTCACGTCATTGGCGGTAGAATTTATATTTTTACAAAAAATATATAACTTTGTCATATTGCAACTAAAACTTGCCCAATTAAAAAAGTCGTAAATTTTGTATGTAATATCATGTGTTTTTATTGCTTGTATGATTGAAGAAAATTCTTAAATATATTTGAAAGTCCTTGAGCCCTTTTGACCCTATTTGTGCCAAGGATATGATCCATTAAGGCAGGGCTTTGTTCGCTCCCCTTATAATTTGGAAGAATTTTCTATATAGCTTCGAAACTTTTCATTTTAGAGAAAAATGCTTCAAACAAGAAATAAAACTCGTACAAAGTTCTATACAAAATGTTATATACATTTTATACGTAAATCTATTATTTTTATGGGATAAGCTTTACAAGGTTTGAAATAATAGGTAAAAGCTCTACTTCTGGTATGTTAGAAAAATTTGTAATTATACAGTCGAAATGAAGAAATAGAAACAATTCTTAATTGCACAGGTACAGAAAATAATTTATAAGTGCATAATTGTAAAATATTGTATACAAAACAGTCACAAAATCGACTTATATTTATAAAAATGAGTATAACAATTCTTAACTGCATAGGTATAAGAATAAGTATAAAAAAGTTTATAACTACACAGTTACAACAAACATATATAATTTTAATTGCACAGGTATAAAAAGAAGTATAAAAAAGATAATTGTACAGTTACGACAGACCATAGTAAAAAGAATTCATGTCCAGCTAAAAATGTTAATCTCAAATTTATAATTGTAATTGTAAAAAACACTATAACTACATTGTAATTATTATTTTCTTATATGTAGTATAACATTGTAACTACATATTGTTTACTTATTATATTATAATGTTAACTACGTAATATTAATTTATATATATTATAACGTTATAAATACATATTGTTTATTTATGTGTACTATAACGTCATAACTGCATAATATTTATTTAAAAATACTATAATATATGATATGATATAACTGCATAAAAGTTACAAGGAAACAGTTATCCACCCCGTTATACGCAAAGTACACCGTGTGTAACGAAATGTGCTAAGAATAAGTTATACTGACTCACCCTGTATATATATCTTCCGACACGCACGAAAGTACATAACGCACATGGATACCACACATAACGCACACACGACGTACACAACCCCATGGATCTGTACACGACACGAAACAAGGCTACACACGAGAGTACGGGGCTAAATGGAGGCGCATAGATCATAGGAGACGCATGTGCATGGTACACCACGCACACAATGTTATATATCAAGCGTGTGAGGATGCAGGCGATAAACCGACCACTGCTACACATGTGTGTGAGCTAAGAACACGAATGCACTACCTAATATACACGGTGGCTCATTTCTCTTATTTAAACACCATACAACGCTTTATTTTAAAAATGAAGGGTTCATTGTAGAATTATAGAAGGATTTATCTTAGAACTATAAAAGGGTTTAGTTCAGAAATATGTAAGGGTTTATTGTAGTTTATTGTGGGACGGGTTACTTGAATTCATTGTAGAAAGGTTTATTGTAGGTTTACTTTAATTTATTATAGTTTATTGTAGAAGGGTTTATTACAGCTTATTACAGAAAGGTTTATTGTAGGATTTATTACAGTTTATTATAGAAGCTTCAAACTCAAGATACTTTGCAATTATGGTATAAGTAGATTACTATAGGAGTTGGCACATCAAATTTTCAGATTTATAAATATTCAGTTCTGTTATTTACCGGAGTTTCAACTTCAATCTTAAAAGTTTCAACCACAGCAATTTTCGAAAGTTTCCAGATCCAAATTTTTCAACTTTCAAATTCACGATCTTTAATTATTATCGAATCAATGAAAGCTTCAAGATAATAGATTTTTAAATTTCTAAATTTGTCAGGGATTACTATACACTCCACGAGTTATTACTCCGCAATAAAAATTGTTAGTCGTTAAAATGAATGTAGACACTCTGTACACAGTGAGAGATGCAGAGCATAAGTGTAACAACGAGAACGAATGGTATCAAGCAGCGTCTATTGTTACCGCCATTACTTGCCACTAATCGGAATGGCCGCGTACGTGACGGTGAAAAGAGAGCAGAAACGAAAAGGAAGGGAAAGTTTGGCCTGGTGGATGCATTCGAGTGGCATGGCAGACCCAACATGATTGCAGACCTCACCACCACGCCCTGACCCACGAGATTTTCAAGATATCCGACACACGATAGCGACCCTTTGTGGCTCGGTACACGCGGGGTCAACCAACTCGACCCCTCGTCATAGTTCCCCTCTGTGCCTTTCGAAACTTTTCTTCGTGCCTGAGACGCGTGTGTACCCTAAATAGTGACTATTGGCGCCAACGGAAACCGAACGAAAACTCACCCGTGCCGGGAACAGCCGCGAAGAGGAACAAGCCTGATCCGGTGACTCGCGGTGATTCATCTGAAACAAAACCACAGAGCTTGTTAGGAGATCGATCTGGTGCCCGGGGGATTTCGAGGAACCTGGTCGAGATCAAGTGGGGACTCTCAAGAAGTAGGAGCTGGGAGGAAGTGATTCAATCTGCAAAAATTTCGAACTCTTATCACCTATGAATCTCTTCATATGAAAAATTAATTTGTGTTCATACATTGTTCACGACTGGTTGACATTGACTGCATATTATAGATTTCAAACAGAGAAGGAAGTAGTAAAAAGATCCACCCATGAACTCTGACGAATGATATAATTTCAAAATGGGTCTTAACTTATCAGTAATTTGTCCAATTAGGTGCTGACCTATCAGCAAATTCTTAAAGCGGTTGTGAATTAATTAAAAATGTCTTTAAATGAACAATTAGGAGTGGATTATTGTTTGTGTTCATACATTGTTCACGACTGGTTGACATTGACTGCATATTATAGATTTCAAACAGAGAAGGAAGTAGTAAAAAGATCCACCCATGGACTCTGATGAATAATATGTTCTCAAAATGGGTCCTAACTTATCAGTAATTTGTTCAATTAGGTCCTGACCTATCAGCAAATTCTTAAATCGGTTGTGAATCAATTATAAATGTCTTCAAATGAAAAATTAGAGATGAATTGTTATTTGTGTTCATACATTGTTCCGATTGGTTGACATCGACTGTGTAATATTACATAATTCAAACAAAGAAGGAAGAAGTAAAAAGATCCACCCATGGACTCTGATGAATGATATATTGTCAAATTGAGTCTTAACTTATCAGTAATTTGTCCAATTAGGTGCTGACCTATCAGCAAATTCTTCAATCGATTGTGAATCAATTATAAATGTCTTTAAATGAAAAATTAGAGATGAATTGTTATTTGTGTTCATACATTGTTCCGATTGGTTTATATCGACTGTGTAATAGTACAGATTTCAAACAGAGAAGGAAGAAGTAAAAAGATCCACATGCACTTTGATGAATATGTTCTCCAATTAGTCCCTGACTTACCAGCAAATTATAATTTTCCAATAAATAATTTATTAAATAATATTAAGATCCCTTTCAATTGAAAGAAGTAGATTTTAAGTCATTTTCGAATCATTTGCAAGTTCAACCACCGTAAAAAGGGAACTATTATCTTTTATATCGTCGATTACAAAGCCAAGGAATCGGCTAAATAAAACGAAGAAGAAAAAAGAGAATTTTACCACGATTCTCGAGGACTGCATCGGAAACGAGAGGTCGAGTAAGAAGATACTGTTCCCTCGAAGATTGAAGATTACGTCTATAAGAAAGTTTCGCGAACGCACCACTTTGGCCAACTGAATGCGAAATCACCAGGATGCATAAAACATCCCTGACAATTATTCTTATTACATGCTATCTCTCCGACGATGATGTCACTTTTTGCTCGTTCAGCGACCGTTTTCAGCCTCGAATATCCAACGACGATTCTCCATGGTTCTTTTAATCGAGGAAAGTCTATCCGCGAATAATTCGCTGGGAACCGGTGAGAAAAAGAAATCCAGGAAACTTTGGTCTTTATCGTTGCTTATTTGTTGTTTGAAACGAGAGGCGAGACTTGAAAACTCCAAGTTTCGTGGAACATCGGTAACGAACAAAGATCGCGTTTCAATGGTCGACTCGAAGGGAAATTCTTCTCTGTTTTTTTTTTTTTTTTTTTATTTTATAAGAGAGGCCGCGAACGAACCGATCGATACGCCTGTCTTTTCCTCGCGAACGAGCAAAGAACATCCTTTTGAATGTGAGACTAATAAGAATGAAAAAGTCGCTACCCGTTTGCCATGATGAATTAAATTAATTAAAAACATCTGAAAAGTTGGATGTTCGCCGTTTGCGTTAATTAAAAACTCGAGACTTCCGAAATACGAAGCGAGGCAAACAATTTTTATTTTTTTCGACGCGACAATATAAGGATTTAATTCTTCAGTTTTTCTTTAGTTTGTATTGAGAGTATTAACGGAACGTTTAGGTTTATTCTCAACAAAGTTTATTGCGTTGATATTATATATGCTTAAGGCGGTGAGATTTTATTAAAATTTTTAAATTTTCAAATGCATTTTGTATGAAAGAAAAAGGGATCCTCAGATTTGTAAATTTCAGAATTATTAAATTAGCGAATTAATGAATTGGGAAATTACCAAATTAGTACATTAGAAAATTAGGAAATTAGGAAATTAGCAAATTAGTAAATTCGCAAACAGAAAAATTTGAAATATCCAGCTTTTTAAATTTCGAATATAAAAATTTGTCAATTTATAATATTTCTAAATATTTAAATTTCTAAAACCTTTGTGAATTTTGAGCTTTTAAATTTCGAAATTGAAGAACAGAGTTAAAAATATTTATGAATTGGAAATACTTATGCTCTGAAATTTGAATTTCCAAATTTACAAAATTAAAAATTCAATTTTCCTTTATTTTGAAGTGTACAAATTTCGAAAATTCAGAATTGCTATCTACATTTTTAAACTTATTAATATTAAAATCTCCGAATGTAAAAAATTTCTATAACTAAGTATTTCTAAATTAAAAGAATAACAAACAAGAAATATTCTCTAATTGTATTATAAAATTTATAAACGTACAATTGTTAAAATTTGTTTCTAGGAAATTTATAAACATGCATATTCTAAAGTTTGAAATTACTCTTTGTGCAGGTTAGAAACATTGTCAAGTATCTAAATTTACAAATCAATAAAACCGAAAAGTTGATATTTCAATTATCCCAAATTTGCAACTTCAATTTTCCAAATCTCCAAACTTTCTACTTCACATTTCTGACACGCTATACTTGCACGCAATATGTTCACCTGTTGCCCGTGAGCTCTTCGACGGGCACTTCATCCTCCCATGATTTATACAACAAATATCAACAAAGCATTTGTATAATCACTTTCTCAAAACGTTAAATCCTCAAACCAGTACCATTATTAACTCGCAACAATGTATCAGCATCCTCCACGTAATTTCCAAGCTGCCAACAATGTTATAATTACACCGCATAACCTACTGACCATTTCCGTATCTATTTCGAAACTTGACAACTTTGGTTAACAATTAATCTCTAAGGCATTCGAGCAAATCTCAAAGTTCGAAAGGATTAAATTCTCGAAATTATTCACAACAGCATAGTGCTTCCATATAATCTAAAAGTGGTTCATGTTATCAAAGACGATCGAATATGAAACTATCAAAATTGTTAGGTCTTAGAATACTCTATCAAGAGGACTAAACCTTGATTCAAGTTTCTATCGATACAATGATATACTGTTTTTAGTTTTCGGACACTTACAGATTCAAATCAATAGGTTTCTGCAGCAGCAAGAACACACAAGGAGTCCTAACATCCTATCGGGTATTTTTAGTTTACTATTATTCACATCTGGCTGCTAGAACCCGTAATCTTAGTAGTAGAGTCCTTTATTTGCAGTTTCCTATTCGTGTCGAGGTATCGCTTGCTTTTATTACTTGCTACGCTCACTTTTTGGGGAATAGACCGCATACGTCACTCGGATTTTCATTTCCACCCGAATTTGTGTACCCAATAGAAATCAGGGTCTGTTTCCCTCAGCCTTGTTCGTAAAAATTGTACGCCCTTACCGAGCTTTCATCCTGCGAAATAAGCGAACGAACAGGTAGACACGAAATAGACACGAGGTTGTTCGCTTCGGAACATCGGATACATAGACACGTTGTTCACTTCGGAACATCGGATGCAGACATATAGGTGTTCAGTTTGAAACATCATTAAAACTAAGCAGACATTGATGTTATACAATTATTCAAGCTACACTTCATTTATAAATATTAGGACTTATGAAGTATGAATTATAAGGATAGTTCGCGTTGTTTAATCTAAATATTGCCGACCCTGTGACACGTATACATTAATTACTCCACGTACTCATCATCGTATCTATTTCGGAACTCGAGGACTTGCGTTACTAATTAATGTCAAAAGTATTCGAGGAAGTCTCAAAGTTCTAAAGGATTATATCCCCAAAATTATTCACAACAGCATAGCGTTCTTATATAATCCGAAAGTGATTAGTTTATGTTATTAAAGACTATCGAATACGAAACTAGTATCGAGTTAACGGCACACAAACGTATCGACGGATCTTCCGAAAGCTTCAGATCCTCGTGGAACTGGGTTTCGTGCACAAATTACGCGCGTTTCTGCTTAAATCGACACTCATCCTTCGAGAAGCCTCCTCCAGGGTTGCTTGAAGCGTCTTGTATACATCGGTACCTTAGCCGTGACGATGAATACAGATCAGCCTTAATACTCGAATGATCTCGTTATTATTCGATATTCAATCGGAACGTTTACTGCCCTCGATCGACACCTTCGCTCGGTTTCTGTTTCGCTGCCTGTAAGCGTATTAAGCTTATGACACTCGCGAACCTACTTTGCTTGGATTACGCTGATCCCCTTAGAGAGCTTTTAACTTTTATGGCGCTGCAGTCGAGCTAAAATTGGGACACCCGGAATCAAAACTAAATGTTATCTGTTTAGGTTTAGTATCGCCCTGTTCGATTGAGATTTGGTAATTAAGTGATTATGAGAAAGGAAATGATCGAAGCTCATTTGAATAGCTCTGCTATGTTTTCGTTCGAAATTAAAATTGGAGTCCTTTGCTATAGTTTCATTTTAAATCGCGATATATGTACATTATTGTGCATATGTATGTGTGTATTAGTATTTTATGAGGGTAGGAAATTTTAATTAAAATTTAAGAGTATAAGTATTTTGTTCAACTAAAATTTCTACTTATTTTGTAAATAGTAAAATAAGAATTCTAACAAATAATTTTTATTAAGTTTTAGTTAAAATTTTATGAGAGAAGAACATTTTAATTAAAATTTAAAAATAAAGAAATTTGGTTGAAAATATCGACTTCGTTTGTAAACAGTAAAATAAGATTTTTAAGAATTATTATTAATTTATTAAGTAATGTTATA